CCACACACTATCAGTACTAATCCATTATTCACGTCTAAACCTACCATTAAGGTAAGCTACATCATGGCTTCCTTCGCTGGTCTCTCTTTTTCGCAAAAGCGCTGCATCAGAAGCTTCAAGCTCTTACACCCCAGTCTACATCACTAATGGGGACACAGGTAAACCTCAGCTCAGTTACATATATACCTCAATCAGAGTAAAACTCCTTACAAGCTTTCAGTACACAAGCTGTATAAACTTGCAATAAAGTGTGTTTTTCTTTGAATCCTCTTTTGCACTCTTTTACAGGCCTACTCGTACGTTGGTTTCGGCACAACTCAACCAACTTTGCGTCTCCTTCTACATTCCATTACGTACTAGATAAATTCCGAGCACAAGTTGGAAGGCCATTTGGCCTGAATTTGTGGGGGTAGTTATGATCCTATATAAACCCTACCCCCTTACTTACCTTTGTCATGCAAGCTGTTTGTGCCCACCCACCTACACCCATATATATTAATAATTCACCTTTGTGGGCCCTCTTTTACAGGCCTACTCGTACATTGGTTTCGGTACACCTCAACCAACTTTGCTTCTCCTTCTATATTCCATTACGTATTAGATAAATTCCGAGCACAAATATATATATATATATATATATATATATATATATATATACATATACACACACACACACACACACACACACATACGCATACATATATATAATTTTCTAATATAAAATATTGGTGCTCTCTGAGTAAAATTTTTAATTATACAGTAAGTATACTCACATGCAGACACGGACAATCTCACTGACACACACAAGCTCATTGAAACACAGCCTCATAGACAAACAATCTCACTGATATATATAAGCTCATTAACATAAAAACACAAGCTCACAGATGCACACACATAGGCTCACTGACAGAATCTCACTGGCACACACAGACAAGCTTATTGGTATACACACAAACATAGAACAGACAAACTGACACGCACAAGCTTTTTACAGACAAGCTCACTGTCACACACACACACACACACACACTACAGAAAAGCTCACTGATACACACATGCTTCCTACAGACAAGCTCAATGACACACAAATGCTGGGTGGCGCAAATAGGGAGCTGTGCTGTCTCTGCTCCCCCATGCGTAGCTTAATGAGACCGGAGCCGGTCTCATTAAGTAGCGCGTGAGGGAGAAGAACAGAGACAGCACAGGTCTCCCTCCGGCCGCCAGCACACCAGGAAATTTCCCGGTACCCTGATGCGCCGGTCTGCCAGTCCGGCCCTGAAACAAACTAGGAAAAAAATCCCTCCTTAGTTTAGGTAGCTATTACCCCACATATTAAAAATGATATCCCTGAATATTATGTTTTTTGCAGGTATTTATTCAATTGCTGTTTAAACCCTTAGTGACTTCGAACGTACAGGGTACGTGAGACAAAAAACTGTCGGTAACAACCGTTGATGTACCCTGTATGTCCGCAGCCAAAATGAGCGCTGGAAGTGATCATGATCGCTTTCAGCCGCTCTAAGGGTATTACACGATGCCTCGATATTGAGGCATCCAATCCATGCCTAAAGTACAACGTGAGAGAAAAATAACAAAAAATGACTACCCAAAAGTTTGACAAAGACTGGTGGTAGAATTAGTGCATGGAAAGTGTTAAAATACCACCATTTGAAATACTCTAGGGTGTTTACCTTTCAAAAACACATGGTTTGATGGGGTAAATTACATTGGCCAGCTTCAAAAATGTCCCAAATAGGACATGGGTGAATGATGACCAGCTGTGAAAATTCCAAGGTGGAAAACTGGAATGCGCACCCTCCAAATAACCCCCAGAGAACCCGACACACCTGAACATGGGTGGTATCACTGTACTCAGGAAATGTTGCTTAACACTTATTGGGGTGTTCCTTGGCAGTAACCATTAAAGTTCTCCGTACATGTATTCTTAAATTGCTATGTGTGTCAAAAAAAAAAAAATCTTTTTTTTTTTTTTTTTTAATTTGTCGTAGATTGGTGGTAAAATGTTTGCATGAATAGAGTCAAAATACCCCAGGTTTAATACCTTAGGTGGTCTTCTTCTAAAAAATATTTACATGTAAAGGGTTATTCAGGGATTCCTGACAGATATTAGTGTTACAATGTAACTTGCGTTAATTTTGGAAAAAAATAAAATAAAATGGTTTGGAAATAGCAAAGTGCTACTTGTACTTATTGCCCTATAACTTTCCAAAAAAAAGCTAAGAACATGTTAACATTGGGTATTTCTAAACTCAGGACAAAATTTAGAAACTATTTATCAAAGGTGTTTTTTTGGCGGTTGTAGATGCGTAACAGATTTTGGGGGTCAGATTTTTTTTTTAAAAGTGTATTTTTTAAACTGTTTCATCATTCTTTTTATAGTAAATTATACGATATGATGAAAATAATGATATCTTTAAAAAGCCCTTTTAATGGTGAGAAAAATGGTATATAATAATGTGTGGCTACAGTAAGTGAGTAAGACAAAAATTACAGCTAAATTACAGGTTAAACATCTGTTTGAACTCTGATAAAGCCACCTCTTCAGGCAGAGAATTCCACATCCTTATTATTGTTGTTACTGCAAAGTTATTTCAGTTGCCTTACACTAAATACCCTTTTCCAGTTTAAATGTGACTTTATGTCCTCGGTATAGCCCTGTTTATGAAGCGATTTCCAGGTAATGGTTTGTACTGGCCGTTTATATATTTGTATAATGTTATCGTAACCCCTCTGAGTGGTGCTATTTTTCAGAACTAAAGAGATTTAAATGTTAACTTTTCTTCATAACTAAAATGCTCCATTCCTTTTATTAATTTTGTAACCCACCTCTACACTTCTTCTAGTGCCATGATATCCTTCTTTAGAACAGGTGCCCAAAATTACACAGCATATTCGAGGTGTGGTATTACCACTGATCTAAAGATATTGCAAAATTATATTTTTGTCCTAAGAATTAAAGGCACTTTTTATACCTGACAATTACCTTACTAGCCTCAGCCACTGCTGATTGACATTGCACATTGTTGCATAGTCTGTTGTCTATAACAATTCCCAAATCTTTCTCATGTGTTATCCCTACTACACTACCATTTACTGTGTAAATTGCTTGTGCATTCATTCACCCAGAGCACATAACTTTGCATTTATTTCTATTAAATCTCATCTGCCATTTGAGTGCCCAGTCCACCACTCTCTCTAAATCCCTCTGCAGGAAAGTAATATCCTTTCTCATTATTTTATTTAACAGATCCGAAACCCCAAAACATTAGGGTCAATGCCTATTTCAAGATAATTTCTAAATATGTTAAATAGACGTGGTACCAGAGCACAAGCCTGATGGACAACACTTTGTCAAGTATGACAATTTACCATTAATGACATTTCTCTGTACTCTATCTTTAACCCAGTGTTCTGCCCCGTAACAAAAATTTACATCTAAAACGGTTACGTTCAAACACTAACCTATTGTGCTGAACTATAGCGAAGGTTTTAGCAAAATCCATGATCATCTCATCCACTGCAACACCCTGACCTATACTTCTACTTACTTCTTCAGAGAATGCAATTAGGTTAGTTTGACATGACCGATGCTTCATAAAACCATGCTGATTTTTGCTAATGTTCTTCTCAATGAATTTTGGAAAATTAGCCCTTAATAACCCATCAAATTTCCCAGCCACAGAACTTAAGCTCACAGGTTTAGAATTTTCATCAAGCCCCACAGCTTTAAGTTACCAATAATATTTGGTGTGCAGCTTTCTATCTGATATTTGTTTGACATTTTGGGAAGTGCTTCGTTAGGGTGTCACGCTGCTCTTACTTCTGCTAACTAAGAAGATGTACTCTGTGCATGGTTTTATTTTACATACCAATATATCTAATATTTGAATATTTAGATAATTGAATATATTCCATTTATCCTCAGAGTTTAGATGTTTTTCCCCCAGTAAAGAGTTTATGCCAATCAATGTTGTAAAGCTGCCCTTATCTTTTTCTAAATTGTCGTTTATTTAAAATATTTTAGTATACCCCACATGCATTTGCTTTTTTGCATTTACTTAAAAAAAAAAAAAAAAAGATTATGATTCACCATTTCCAAAGTGCTCCCCTACTTGAATGTTGGTCAAAAGATCAACATTGTTACAACCTTATCTAGACAAGTATCCTTTCTAGTTGGTGTTTCTACCAATAGTGACATGAACGTGTCATTCAACAGGTTCAAAAACCTAATTGCCCTTGCTGAACGTCTCTATCATTTATGTCTGGGTAATGAAAAATTTCCAATAATTTACGTCTTATCCCACATGTACAGCTTTCCCAAATAGCACCAACTAGCTCTCGCTTCTCATCAATATCAACATTAGGTGGTTTGTTTTTTAAAAAAAATTAAAAAATTCCCAGATTTTTCTTATTTTACCCCCAAAGAGGCTTCCTACCGATAACATTTTTTTACATTTTGCTCATTGCATTCCCCTTGCTTAATATTTTAATAAAACCATCTACTATATATATATATATATATATATATATATATATATTTATTATAAACCCCCCCACAAACCACACAATCATATAAAAAACAAACATACTAAAATAAAAATGCATACGACCCAAAAGCAGATATAATAAACATATAGACCATAATGCGCTACATTAATACTATATACCGTGCATAAGACGATCCCTATTTTTTTTAGACCAAAATTAGGAAAATCAGTATTTTAAATATCAAATAGAACTTTGATATTTTAGAGGTGACTTCTGAGGAGAACACACTTCTGTTTCTCATGCCTCCCCTGTGCTATGGTATTCTGTGAAGGTAATGGCTCCATAGTGCATGCTGGGAGACTACAGCTCCCACAATACAGCAGGTGGTGTGAGGGCAGGTTGGGATATCACAGTAGTATTTCCTCTGCTTACTGATCCCCATAAATATAAATCAGAAAGCAAGACCTGGGGGGCGGGGCCCGACCGCCATGCTGACCGGTCGCAGGTTGGAGAGGCTCCTGACAAATTTGGTCTCCTTTGGCACAAAATCCAAGCAATACAGCAATACTAGTGCCCAAAAGTTCTCAGGTACCCGGACAGTTGCTGGAGCCACTGCGGTCCCCGAGATCGGGAGTTTCGGAGCCCCTGTGGGCGATATGAGGCTTCGGGGTCTGTGGCCTATGAGGGTGAAGAGCGGGGCGGACGGCCGCCGTCCTGTTTGCAAACCTGGCTGCCATGCAACGGCCGCGCGATGCGCCTCGCGGAGGAAAATACCACCTTCCACCGGCCCACCATCCACCCTACCTGGCACTGTGCATCACGCGCCTGGGCACCAAAATGGCGGCAATGCGACCAATACCACGCAACATAGCTTCGCCTGCCCGCATGCGGAAACAACAGCTTGCTGAGCATAACTCCTACCTACGAATCACAAGCCTGAACACAAGTGATGTCCCATCTTGGAAGTCCCTGTCTACCTACTCACGAATGAGGCTTGGCCGCGATTGCCATCCAGGGCCTTAAGATCAGCTTGTAAGGATCCCCACTGATGGCCACGAGGAACCAGCAGCGGCAGGGTACCCAGAGCACACAGCATGGAGGGGGCTTCTAATCCCACAGCGGATCTGCCTGCGTGGATACCCCATCAATATCAGGCTGCCAGACCAGATGACCCACCTTGCAGGGCACCAGTGGACTATACCAGACACCTTGGCTTACCTGGCTGACTATGTTTTATGTTATGTTGCCATCTATTTTTGTTTTAACCCTTTTTTGCCATGATAGGCATATGCATATTGAGACACTCATAATCTTGCTGCCACTTAACAAAATATCTACAATTATTAGCTAATGTTGTGCTAATATCTAACTCTGTAGATTATGTTTATAACCGTGCCTAGCGTGAACAAACGTATTATTACATGAATAGTCAGTCTGGGGAGCCTACTCGTTTTCTCTACTTCCATTTCCTCCTTGTGTTCTACTCAAAATGTCTGTCAGAGCACAATACATTCTACACCTTTTCTACCAGAATAGACCTTTTCTTGCAGTTTACAATACAAAAATGTGCTGTCTAACCGAATGCCATGACTATGATTCTTAAACCTATTTCTCTGCTTGGAAGTGTTGTCGTGGCCTACAAAGCTTTGTTGTTATAACTTGCACAATATAAATAAAGAATTTAAAAAAAAAAGAAAGCAAGACCTACCTGAGGTGGCACAAACCCTAATATAGTTGCTCCTTTTATGGTGTGGCATGTCTCTGGAGCTCCGTTGGTGGTAAGTGCTGATGTCTGCTGCAGCTCCCATGCATTTAGGGACCACGTCCTCCTTGCCGCAGCATTCAGAAGTGGATGGAATGGAGGGAGGCCAGGTATGTGTGTGGGCCGTGACACACGGAAATACAGAAGGTGCCACCTTAACTTGTGCGTAGGGCCCAAGTGTTTTTTTTAAACCATGCATTGACATTCCGTGTATAAGATGACCCCCAATTTTAGACAAAAAAAAAGTCTTATACATGGAAAAATATTGCAATTACAATATAAAAATATGCAAGTCATCGGTACAAGTTAGGGTTAACTCAAAACAATAGGACTGGAGTTAGGATACCAACCCACCCAACATTTCAGCCTTGTGGACCTTCTAGGATGAGTGATACTTCACTTAAAATACCATTTACATATGTGTGTGGAGATGTGTAATAGCGATAAGCCCACCCTGGCGTAATTAATAATTGTTGAAGCGTTCGGTTTTATCATGTGTGATGCTGTATCAGCCATCAGCATGGTGACCAGGTGTTTGCCCAATGTTCGCAAATCAGAAAGAGTGCATTTATACAATAAAAATAAAAAAATAATAAATTAAAAACGATCCGGATTCTTAATTTTAAGTCACAAGATGTAATAATTCTAGAGAGCTTTCCTACAGGTCATCTAACATCTCCCCCCCCCTGCCCCACCAATCAAACTACAGCTAGCGGGTGTGTTAAACCTAATGAAAAATTGCAAAAATAACACCAAAAGTTAGCAAGTTAGAAATGCAGGTAAAATTAGAAAATTTATGTAATTGAATGGAGTTTTATTACCAAGATAAGTATCTCAAAAGGGGACATACATTAATGACAGGGATAATAAATTATACATCCCCTAAACTAGATAGTACATACATTGCATCAAATAATAGGAGGGTGAGGGGAGGGCTGGAATGAAAAAAAAAAAATCACAATAAACCACTTTAGAATAAAAAAAAATAAGATAAAATCTAGCCCAAGGTCAAATCAAAACTGAGCCCCTGACAACCAATACAAAAAATGTTATATAGCTGCACAAAAAAACCCAAACACGTGGTAATTAAGGGATCACTCCCCTAATTAAGTCAGAAGCAGTACATGGAAGAAAAACCCGGCTTTTTAACCCTTTCAAGTTAAGCAGATTTACTTAATAAAAAACAAACAATCTCTGTCCACAGTTTTTAGTTCTCTAAGGATTACTCCTGTTTTAAACTCCTGTCTAAAAATAGCCTACTGAAAAGAGACTATTTTTAAGCAACTCCAAATGTGCCAGTAGATATAAGCAAATGGACAGTAAGCCTCAAAAAGAAAATTGTAAAGAAGTATTAAATGAGTCAGGAAGGTTCAAATAGGAACCAGCAGGCTAAACAGAAATGTTGTCCCAACTCGAGGATAGCAGTACCTATCAAGAACTCTCGGGTGATCCATCATCCTCCATCATGCAGTCAGTTGATGCAATTCTTCAAAGGGGTGTGGAAGCAGATTACCTCAGATACCAGTACTATAAACACTGCCTAAAATTCATGGATGCAAAGAAAGGAAGACACATCATCTCAGCTATTGGAGGTGTGATAGAACCAATAGCCAAATGGTTGAACTTTCTGTTTAAAGACACTCTTGAGCACCTCCCCTTCTGTTTAAAGGACCCGTCTGGTCTGTCAGAACATAACAAGGACATTCAACACCCAGAGACTCCCATCATTCTATTGACAAGTGACATCAAGAATCATTCTAGACACAATAATTCCTCATGGGTAGGGCATTGAAGCAATGTGACAGCTTCTCCCATTCTACACTCTCTTGGGGTCCCCCCCAATGAGTATGTTTAGAATTATTGGAAAATTACACTCAATGTTTAAGTGATAAGCCCCACCAAAAACAAAAGGAGTGAGTGCAGCACTAATACATTTGACGTACCCCTTACATTTCAAGGTTTTATACTATATATATATATATATAAAAAATAAGAAAAAAGAAAACACACAATTGCAATATTGTATTGATGTGTGGAAAGGAAATGGAACTCAATTTTAAAAGAGCCTTTTGTGGATATAGGCTTTAAATGCAGCAGCTTCCGTGCCTGTGTCCCAAGAAGAACAGTTTTCATAATCTTGCAACATATAACTCCAATATTCTGTTTGTTTATCCTATGCCTTATGCATGTATAATAAATATGTTTATATATATATATATATATATATATATATAATTATATATATAAATATTTAATATATGTGATTCAATAGTATGTCCTGATGCCTGATCTAGTTGCGTAGCTGTTTTTTTTTTACACTCCAGGGTAGCCTACGACACAACTGCCACTTCTTCTGACTGTTGCTAGTTAAAGTTGGAAAGCACTACGCTGTGCACTCAGTCTTGTTTAGGGGGAGCCTGTCCGCGGCTTCGAGTTGATCATGGGCCAATTCGGCTCATTCACGCCGGTCACAAGATATGAGGGGGGGAGGGGGGAGCACGTGCAAAACTTTAGCTTCTGTTTTAGGGTATTTAATCACTATGATTTCCTGTTATGCTGTTCTTGTGAAAGTTTTTATACAAAGATTAAACAATACAATAAACTAGAAAAGCTACAATTTCTGGGGAAATTGTGTGAAGTGTTCTTGACTCCACCAGTAGTCTACAACTGGAGTGGGCGGAGTAACTGTTATCATTTATATAGCACATTTAATTGCAACGTTGTTGCACAGTTACATTAAAACATACATTTATAAAAACATTAGCAGGTGTTCAAAAGGCCCTGTCTATGACATCACTTGCTGCTGCAGCTTGACACAGGTCAGAGTATTTTGTCGGTTGCCATCTTCAAACGGTCGTATCTTAAAAACTATAACTCCTACAGTGAAGAGCTTTATATTGTGAGAATCACAAGACCCAGACCTACATTTTGATGCATAGTATGTCTCTGAAGTATTAAAATTGAAGGCACAGTCGCAGTTTAGAAATTGCACTTCAAATTTTAGCTTTGCAGAGTGAAGTTTCAATGAAAGTCAATGGACGGCGTTAGTTGCAAACAAATGATTATATTGTGAAAACTATCAGGACTATGGCTTAGCCGTTGACATGTTTAGTGGCAGCAGGGATAGCTGAACGTTTTGATATAAGATTTGTGTAGGTGGGCCTGAAAATAAGGGAGTGGTGGCAGTTTAGAAATCATGTCCTGATTTTTCAGCTTTTGCCAGCTCCCACTCTAGCTTTGCCATTCATTCCTATGGGACAAATTTCGCCACAAGAACGACGATATTCCGTGAACCATTCGGCGAAACGTTCCACAAAGTAATAGCAATCCGATCGGGAACAATCTGCACGTTTTGGTAAATTTTTGTCAATGTAGTGTAAAAACTGTGGGAGGAGTTAGGGTGGCAAATTTTGCTATAATAAGAATAATAATAACTAGAAAAGCTACAATTTCTGGGAAATTGTGTGAAGTGTTCTTGCCTCCACCTGTAGTCTACAACTGGAGTGGGCGGAGTAACTGTTATCATTTACATAGCACATTTAATTGCAACGTTGTTGCACAGTTACATTAAACCATACATTTATAAAAACATTAGCAGGTGTTCAAAAGGCCCTGTCTATGACATCACTTGCTGCTGCAGCCTGACACAGGTCAGAGTATTTTGGTGGTTGCCATCTTCAAACAGTCGTATTTTAAAAACTATAAATCCTACAGCGAGGAGCTTTATATTGTGAGAATCACAAGACCCAGACCTACATTTTGATGCATAGTATGTCTCTGAAGTATTAAAAATGAAGGCACAGTCGCAGTTTAGAAATTGCACTTCAAATTTGAGCTTTGTAGAGTGAAGTTTCAATGAATGTCAATGGACGGCGTTAGTTGCAAACAAATGATTATATTGTGAAAACTATCAGGACTATGGCTTAGCCGTTGACATGTTTAGTGGCAGCAGGGATAGCTGAACGTTTTGATATAAGATTTGTGTAGGTGGGCCTGAAAATAAGGGAGTGGTGGCAGTTTAGAAATCATGTCCTGATTTTTCAGCTTTTGCCAACTCCCACTCTAGCTATGCAAGAACACTTAATAAAGGATGTTTGTGTAGTGGATGCTGTGTGTATAGTTAATGCAGAGTGTATGTTAGTGTAG